TCGTTTTGGCCACTTGTGTGGCGACGTTGAAATGCAGATCTCGTCCGTGCTCGTGTATGGCTTGCGCGGCGCCAAGAAGCTGTTCTCGGAAATGCTGCACAGTCTTCTGGAAGCCCCCATGCTATTCTTTGACGCAAACCCCATTGGTCGCGTGCTCAATCGGTTCGGCGACGACATCCTCCAAGTGGACATGTTCATTCCGTTCTCGTTTGCACCGATCCTCGTGCAAACTGCCTCCATCGTCGCCAAGATCGTCACGACCATCGCCATCACGCAGTGGATGGGACTGCTAGTGCTGCCGCTCATGGCTGTGTACGGCTTCTTGGGGTCGTACTTTTTGGCGCCGTTGCGTGAAGTGAACCGCATCCAAAAGACGACGCGGTCACCGCTGTTGAGTTTGGTCAGCGAAGGTATCGACGGCTCCACGACCATCCGAGCGTTCGGTCCAAAGTACCTTCGTCGCTTTAACCGCATCCACGACGACCTCCTCGAAGCGTTTGTTGGCGCTCGGTTCGTGGCCGTGGCGTCCAATCAGTGGTTTGCACTACGAGTGGAGCTGATCAGTTGCACGATCGTATTTGCCCTCTTGATGGGCGTCGTGGTCATGCACGATGCCATCAGCGCCGGGCTGATCGCCCTCGTGATTACGTACGGATTGAGCATTCCTGCCAACTTGGCTGGGCTGGTCAACGTCTGGGCGCGGATGGAGACGGCGCTGATCGCCCCCGAGCGACTGTACGAGTACATCCAACTGACCAAGGAAGGCGAGCGACACACACCGTTGGACGCTGCATCGACATCGTGGCCGACCCACGGACAGGTGCAGTTTGACCAAGTGAGCTACCGCTATAAACCCACAGCCCCCCTCGTGCTTCAAGACGTGAGTTTCACAGTCAAAGGGGGCGAAAAGGTGGGCGTCGTCGGGCGTACGGGCGCGGGCAAGTCGAGTTTGATGATGTCGTTGTTCCGCATGAACGACCTCGCAGCGGGCCACATTCGTATCGACGGGCTCGACATTGCCGACATGGGCCTGCACAACCTGCGCAGCCACCTGGCCATCATTCCCCAGAACCCCGTCCTATTCAAAGGCACTCTGCGCAACTACTTGGACCCGTTCGTCGAGTACGACGACGACCAGCTGTGGATTGCTCTGACCAAGGTGCAGCTGGCCGACCGCATCGGCGCCGACCCCGACAAGCTGCTGGGACCCGTGGATGAGAACGGAGAGAACTTTAGTGTAGGCGAGCGCCAGATGCTGTGCATGGCCCGGGCCCTGTTGCGCCAGGCCAAGATCGTCATCCTGGACGAAGCCACGGCGGCCATCGACCACGACACCGACCAGCTCCTGCAGCAGGTCGTGCGCTCCGAGTTTGCGACGTCCACGGTGCTTACTATCGCCCATCGTTTGGACACGGTGCTGGACTGCGACCGCATCCTCGTGTTTGACCAAGGACGATTGGTCCAGAACGACACACCCGCGGTGCTTGTCAACGCAGGCACAGGCATCTTCTTTGACCTCGTCACCGAAGGCGGGTATTCGTTGGAGAAGCAACTCTAACACAATCGTTATTTGTAGTTACTAGTAATTGAAATGGACCACATGATTCATCGTCGTACCCAAGATATGACATGCCAATTCCACTGGGTCGTTTATAGAATACTCAATTCATCCGGTGAGCAATCAATGTCGGTGTTATCGCGTACACTCAGACCCTTACAGCTCTATCCTATCTAAACGTATATCCTTGCATATTCTCTGGCGTTGTTGACACCCCCGTTGTATTTCCGCGCCTCGTTGAGCTGCTGGGTGGGCGAGCACTGCGTCATGCTAGGATACTTCCTAACGAGACCTGTCAACACGCATCTCTCGGTCATACCTTCCAATGATATATATCTACAAGTCATTCATTGAAGTCGAGCCTGTATATTACGTCTGGGCTCACGTACAGAGCTCATGGTGCCACGGCGATTGCCGCGACAGCATTCACGTCAAAATGCGTCATATTAAGCTATCTCAAGATATTCAATGCACTATTTATGACCATGGTTTAGTATTTGCAGGAATTCTGGAATGTAATCAACAATAGTCTAATTTGGCTGAATAATCTGAACTGTACGACTGTACTTTTCCTGAGGACTGTTACAACAGTACATGTACTACTACAGTAGAACAGTACATAACTTACATAGTAATGCGTACAGTACATAGTATGCTACCTTGCTTTATATAGAGCTCATTAATTGACCGCTCCTACGACGACCTAACCCTGTAGTAATGGGTGTGGTCGCTGCTCATTGGATATAATTCATTCATTCATTGTGCTCAGATTCTTTTTGTATATACTAAGCTTAACAGCAATTCCAAACGAACCAGCCACCGTGGTCTAGCGGTTTGAACATGGGGTCCGAAAGGTCACCAGTTCAACCCCAGCTTTTTGCCCACTTTTCCCCCGCGGAAGCAATATGGTGTCGGGCCCAAGTTGCCCATCTCACACACAGGATATCGCATGAACAACTACATCTTGCAAAGGCGCAATACGAGTCGATCATAGACGAGTGGCGGCAACACCAAAACGACCTGCAATTCGATTTTCATGCGTCACAGAATGAGGTGTCCACCTCACACTTCTTTCGCCCACCTAAACGGAGACTGTACAATGTTCCGATTGTGGAGGTGCAACAAAGTGACGGATCGTATACGTCGGATCCTGCTCTCGTCCACGACGCCTTTCATGAACGGTGGAGTGATATAATGTGCGAACGCGACTTCCGGCCTCCCTCTAGAGTGATCAGACGTCGTTTTCTGCGCCTTCTTAAGACGAAGTTGTCCGATGTACAACGAGATGAGCTGGACCAGCCCATCACCAGCACCGAGCTGGCAGCTGCAATTAGAACAATGCATCCGAACAAAGCACCTGGTTTAGATGGATTCTCCGCGGGTTTCTACCAACTTGACCCTCCACTCTTTGGGGAGATCCTGCGAAGGGTTTTCGACTACCAGTTACAACGAGGCGAGCTGTTGGGCATGCAGCGCCGTTCGGCTGTCTCGGTGTTGTTTAAAGGAGGAGATCGACGCAACACGGGCAACTATCGCCCCATCTCGCTGATCCCGGTCGAGGTGAAAGCCCTGACTCGAGCACTAGCATACCGAGTCAATTCGCTGCTTCCCCTACTGATCCATCCCATACAGAATGGATTTGTGCAAGGACGTCGCATCCACGACCATGTGTTGTTTCTCCGAAACCCCGAAACCCCGAAACCTTCAACACAAACACATCGTATTTTTCAAGTTTGATAATATATGCTCAGAGTACGTAATGAATATTTTTAGCATAGGATTCACCAATCACACGGGGTGAATAGTAAACGTCCACCTGTACAATTGGAAGAAAATAATTCCAAAACTGATAATTGATGGCTCCATACAAACTCTAAAATAGTTTGATGTGCAACACTTGCGAGTTAATGCCGAGTTCACTGTACAACAATTATTCCGGTCTTGAGTTTCTGGAGCTCACATAAGATTTTGAGTCGAGGTTGATTGTTTCCTGCTTAAATCACAATGTCTAACGTCATAAACAATCTAACGACATTATTTAATATACGAACAAAGTTGCCGATTCGGTCATCACCGCTGCTGACAAAAGAAGAAAGATGATTGAGAGAACCATCAGCGCCTGGGAATCCATTTCTGAATCATCGGTGAAAAAGTCGTTCGAAAAGGCTCTACCGCGCTCGATGGCGAGGAAGGCTACGCTATGTTTCTCGATTTTGAAAAGGCGTACGACCGCATCAACTGGGACTTCATGTTTGATACTCTGGAGACCTTTAACTTTGGTCCTCGCTTCCTGCAGTGGCTTCGGCTACTCTACAACCATCCCGTGGCCCACCTGGTCATTAATGGCACGCTCAGCCAAGCCATTTTTCCATCGCGAGGAGTGAAACAGGGAGACCCATTGTCCTCCCTTCTCTTCGTCCTGTCCGTGGAACCGTTAAGCCAACTTCTCCGTGACCATGAGGAACTTGGCATTGCCTTTTCGGAGACTCAAATAGCCACAGCACTACTGTTTGCAGACGACACAACCATACTAGCGTCGTCCTTGGAGAACGTCGAGCGTCAGCTTGACCTTGTGGACGAGTTTTTGCTCCTACGCTGGAGCTCGACTCAACCGAAACAAGTGCAAAGTACTGACTTTAAACGACAACCACACCATCCCAGTACATCCCCGTCTCAACATGATAGCTAGCATGGCCCCCATACGTTACTTGGGCATACATCTTGGTCACCGGCTGAGCTCCAAACGACAACTCAACCTCATCTCCGACACGTACTATGCCTCCTTCATTACATGGGGATGCCGAGCACGTACCCTTAAGGGTCGACGTCTCATTGCGAACACCATGATACTATCCAAACTGTGGCACTACACAGCAGTTATACCAGTACCATCGGCCCTGGCTAAACAATGGCAGACGATGTTGACCAAGTACATTCTGGGCCGACGCGCCCAAAGCTCCTTCGGAGGATGGACCACATTCCGACATCCTCTGAATCCGATAGCACAAGTAGTTGTAAGCGTCGAACACATTGAGCTCGGAGTTGTGACGGAATATGAGGGACACGTAGCCCAACGAGACGGTTATAGGCCAAACCGTAGTTGGTTGGGGCGATAAACCGGTCCTCTCTGCGTAACTTTGATCACCTCCACCATACGGACGCTTCTGGTGCTGGAGTCGTCCTCAGAATACACAACTTCACGACTTTCCGTGCTCGTAAAGTAGTTCACCATAGGTGCTCCGCTGGTCGACGAGAACAGAGGATACACCGGCGACGAAGGGTGACGTTCGAACTTGTAGCTTGGGTCAAAACCGTACATGCAGCCCTGTGAGTCTGGCGGTATGGAAAACTGGCGCGGCAGCGCGTTCATGTTGAAGCCGAAATCCATGGTCATGGACAGCGGGATGGACTGTTGCTTGGCCAACTCGAATAGTCTCACAAACTACTCGTGTTCGGACCACTCCTTGTCCATCAACCTGGTCTTCACACCAAAGTTGGAGCAAAACACGGTTGAAATCCCCACATCCAGCATGCATTGTGCCAGGGTAGCCATGGAGATTTGGTGCCTGGAAGTGAACGAAATGATGTGCCGTTGCTTCACACGAACATTTTGAAGCAACGGCAAATCTTCGAGGACGTCCTTCTTGAAAAATACGCTTTCAACCGAGTACGCCTCGATGCTGTCACACAACTTCTGTACTTGGTCGCCTCGCACAAACAGCTTGATCGGCGAAATAAGCACCTGTACACCATTTCCACCCCATGGCATGTTCGAATGACCGATGGAAACGTTGGCCATGGTACAATCGACTGGGAATAGCACTGGCAACAGACGCGTTGGGATGATTCCTGCCCACAGGTCGCAATCGAGCGGAAGCGTCTGCCACTCGTCACAAACCCACACCTGTTGCACCAATGCAGCCACTTCTCGCTCTGTCATCACTGGTACGCACGGCGCAGGTAGAGGACAGTCCTCGTCGCTGCTGCTGCCCACGGAATGCGCGGGATCTTCGGGCGTTGATCCACCAAAGCTGGATTCGTCGTCTCTTGGGCTGTACATCGTAAAGGTGAGAGTAGACGTTTAGTGTGCAGTTGCGACCTTTGGATATTTTTAGAATATTTGTGAAACGTGAAACCGTGGTAATGGTTTTGTAACGGCTTGCCCAAGTGGCGTATTGTTGCTCCACTTGGGCATCCGGATATTTTCCGGCAAGAGATGAGTGGACAGTACGGATAGAATCCGGTTAAAATTCAGAACAATCAGTTGGCCTCATTTCTCAATTTTCCTTGTGTATCGCATTGCTCCAGCATCGGTAAGGAATCATGACAGGCGGCGCTTCAAGCAAAGGAACCAAAGGATGCGCGTTCGACACTGTGGCTATGGCAAGCGAGCAGCTGGGAGCAACCAGCCAAATGGCGACACCCGATAGCGCGGTGCCAACGCTAGGTCCTGACGACACGGCGTATGGGCCTGGCAGCTCAACGGAGCCGACACATGGGCCTGGCGCCTCAACGGAGCTGGCACCAGGGCCTGACGACACGGCGGAGACGACGCATGGTCATGACGATACGACGGAGCCGGCACCAGGGTCTGACGACACGGCGGAGACGACTACAATGCCCGATGGCACGACCATGCCGACGACTCAATCTGGGGTTTCGAGGTCTACAGGTAATGTATTAGTATGTACTCGTTTAGTTTTAGTTGCGTTGTTTTTGTAGCAATCTTTACTCATATTAATCCTTACAGTGGGCGAGCCCATCGAGGGGTCTGGGGATGTTATTGGACGAAGTATTTGTCCAATTCAAACGCGTTTTTTTTAAATCGATGCATACTCTTTAAACACATATACTGTCAAAATTAAAGGCTTCGGTGGATAGTAATCACTGAGCTTCGCACAGAAAACTGCTCATTTCTGTGTATCCAAGTCTGCATAAAATAAATACCTGTAAAATATGATTTTTGCCATTATGATTTATAGCACAGAGGCTTATTTGATGAAAAACCTTCTAAATTAAATACGAACTGTGACTCTTCACAGTCAAGTGGCATGACGACAAATGTGCGCGTGGACGTGACGGCAGAGAAGTTCGCTGAGATTTGCAAGTTCGTCCAACAAAACCGGCCTCGGGCCCTCACCGAAGAGGAAAGACTAGATATCTTGCGAGCCAACGCGTATCTACGCCATATTCATGCAACCGACAATGTTGACGTGACCCGCGAAGTTGCGAGCCTCCTTGGTCGGTCCAGGAAAACCGTACAAGCCGTGTGGCGTGAATATATTGTCGACAACGCTATCCTACCTAAGTGTCTGCCCTCCAATACGTCCGCACGATCAACTCGAATTCCACTGACCGTGGGCGTCATATCGTCCGTCCAGCGATTCGTCCGCGAAAAGCGCCAGGTTGGGCAGCGCGTGGTCGCCAAGGACGTTGCTGCCTTTCTCCTTGAAACAAGCGTCCTACATTACGACCCCTATGTCAAAATTGAGAGAGAAAGTGCGGTGCGGCTGGTGCAACGGTTCGTGAAACACTGTGGGTACCTCCGTGGCTCCAAGAACGGCAAGAAGTCGCTTGCATTGTCCGAGCGAAATATTCTTCTTCGGGATACCTACGTGCGTTTCATGTGTGAGGCCACGCAGCAAATTAACCCAGCAACCCGTCGCACAGTCGTGTACCTCGATGAAAGCTTCGTCCATCATCACTACAACAAAAACGACATCTCCATGTACGATCCTACCGATGATCTGGACGTCCAGCCCAAATCGAAGCACAAAGGCCGCCGATTTTGCTTCATCGCCGCTATTGTGGACGGCGGGCCCGACAATTCGAAAATCCTGTGCTACGAAAAGTTTGTTGGTGGCAAGCAAACGAAGGACTACCATGGTATGTTCGACAACTCGTACTTTGTGGACTGGTTTCGCCGTCTCTTGGAGGCTCTCCAGGACCATGCTATCACCAATACCATCATCGTCATGGACAACGCAAAATATCACAAGTGCATACCAGACACCACGCCGAAGTTCACGTGGCGTAAAGCCGACCTCATTGACGTCTGCGACACCCTTGGCATCGCCTACTCCCCCAGTGAGCTGAAGGCTACCATCTGGGCCAAGCTGCAGCCATACACGTCTGCTGTCGTACGTGAAGTTGTGGAGATGGCATCGCACGCCGGGCACGAGGTCAAGTACAGTCCGCCGCACCACTCAGACCTGCAACCTATTGAACTCATGTGGGCAATCGTCAAAGGTAATGTCGGCAGACAGTACGACACCAATACCTCCTTTCATGACGTTGAGCAGCGCCTTGACGCGGCGTTCGAGGGTCTCACGTCACAAATGGTCCACGGGTGCATCATGAAGACGGAGAGCGACCTCCTAGCCATCCATCAGCACATCAGCACAATTGATGACGACGATTACCAGGACTCGAGTGACTCAGACGATGGGGACAGCGGCGGGAGCAGCGAGAGCTCGGACGACGAAATCGTTGTTTTCGGTTCGGATGGTCAATCTGTCGTTGTGTAAATGGATAAAATCAGTTGAAATTCAGTTTTTTTGCTCTGCCTTGTCCTTTTCAACTTTTCTTTCGTGCGATCGATAGCCTTTGGCAATGCCGACAGTTTGGTGCTAATTTCAAGCAAATCCAAGCAATATTGATGAAGTTATGGCCATTTTAGTGTGTATCTCTTTTTCTGTATAACTGTATCAATTGATTCATGGATTGGCATCCATTTATAGAGTTATCTGTAATTCTGATTTGCGAGCCAGCACCGCAACATCCAATACATTTCGGATAGTTAACCGGCGGACCCCTCGATGCGCTCGCCCACTGTTAATTCAAATATACTTAAGAGTTCTTCGATGTGTTTCCACCCCTGGAATTATGATTTATTGTACTCACACACTGCGTGGATGTTAGGCAACAAGAAACCCCGGTCACGACTGTACCGGTTAACCGAAATGACGGATCTATTACGTAAAGCCTCGGAAGATTGGCCGAGTTTCGTTCCAAAACTTGAAGCGTCATGTACGATCGCGAAGATGGAAGAATTCAAGGAGCAGATGGCGCTGATGATGTCGGACACACCCAATAAAGTCTACGCAGTAATGATAGGCCACCATCAAAACTTTTACTTCACACATCCACAAAGCACGAGACAAGTGTCCATGCACATGACAAGGCTTAAAAGTATGCTTAACGTACTTATTCACATCGAATGTAATGAATTCGCTCAAATACAATCACATATTTATGAAGTTCTGTATTTGGGGGGTGCAAAAATGATAAGCTACAAACTAAATTTTTACTCTTATTTGCTAGTACACAACATTCTAGTACTTAGTTTTGTTGCCCTTTTTCGAGACAACCTCCAAACAACGCTTTGGCATACTTCCAATGAGGTTAGTGATGGTTTGGAGTGAAATTTCACTCCAGCACTTCAGGATCGAGGCAAGAAGGCTGTCTCGGTCCAAAAATTGCCTTCCGTTGGCGTAAACGTCACGGGCAAGAATAGCCCAAAGGTTCTCAATGGGATTCAAGTCTGGTGAACGAGCTGGCCACTGCAAAACAGCAATGTTGTTCTCTTCAAACCATTCCCGAGACTCACGGCTGACATGGATTGAAGCATTGTCTTGTTGAAATATGAAGTCAGTGCCATAATTTTCATGGGCAAATGGCAGCATGAAGTCCGAAAGGGTAAAGATGTACGTGGCGCTGTTCTGTTTGCCCTCCAGAATCTTGAGCACCGAGACACCCTTGGCCGAAAACGCACCCCAAACCATGACCGAGCCACCACCAAATTGACGTCGTGAAAAAACTTGCTCCTCGTGATCCAAGTGGTGCCAGTAACTCTGCCATCCGTCTGGGCCGTCGAGATTGAACTTCTTCTCATCCGAGAAGATAACTTCCGTCCAATCTTGTTGAAACTCGATGGCCGTCGAGGCAAACTCAAGGCGGTCCTTCAGGTGTTGTTTGGTGAGAGGAGGACGTCCAAGTCTCTTCTTGAACACGAACTTCGGATGTTGTTGGAGTAACTGCTGAGTACGCCGAAGGGACACAGGAAGGTCCAGCGACGTTTTCAGCTGTCGGCAAGACATTCTACCCTTCATGGCTTCCCGGATGAAGGCCCGGAAGGCGGTTGGTGTCATCTTGGGGGGCCTACCAGTTGACTTTGTGGTGCCGTAGGTGTCTCTTTTGGCAAGAAAGTTGCGCACAACCGTTCGGGATCGTCCAATCTCGGTGCCAATGGCACCTGGGGTGAACCCAGCAGTTTGAAAGGCAAGAATTTGAACTTTCTCGACTTTTGTCAAGTTTGCTCCTCTCCCCATGACGTTTGGATGGATGGGTGCCGTCAGTAAGGTCGTTGGATGTCGCAAAGAGGTCAATGAGTGCCTCTTAGGATGGCGGAAGAAGCAGAAGTAAGTATTCTTTCTTGTAAGACCTTGAATTAGCGACTCTTTTTTAAAAGGCCTATCATTATTTCATATCTGATTCTTGAAATTCAGTGATTAAATTCAAATTTCTTGGAATTCAGCAGCCTGATAGGTGATGTGACATATTGGTTCAGCCAATTTAACTAATCTAATTCGATTGGTTAAAAAGATGTTTACAATATACTTCACTTGCCTTTGATTGGTCCACCACAGGCATGTGGCCTATCATTACTACGTAGACTTTACCAAGAAGTCGAAGAAGATAAAGTGTACTCCCAATCCCACTCCTGCGAACGTGCCAACAGCATCCAAGCCCCCCAGTCCATGTCAACCTCGTCAACGTCAACCCGCTCCGATCCAACACGAAAAAAGTCAGTTTGGGATCGTGTCCAGAAGTTGGCTTCCCAGCGAATCCCGTTGTCCGAGATAAGCGCATTTCCCGCCGTTCGTTCGCTGACCAATGTCGACAACTTTGAGTGCATCCGACCCTTGCGAGCTGACCAAGTCGCCTTGAACTCTGACAATTTGGTGAAGAACGGGTATCTAATACACATGAAAGTAGTCCTCTGCACTCCGGGTCCAAGTGGATTCAAGTACGGCATCATTGATGGCCAGCACCGAATCCAAGCGCTAAAGGATTTGGTTAAAGATCCGTCAAGGCCCTTATCCACTGTCTAAAATATCGGGGCCGATATGCTGTTTCGGTTGCGGATTTCCGTAAAATACGGCCTAATTCATCATTTTAACACCTGTTTTGGACTAGGTAATTTAAGCCGATATGTTGCGGATTTCGAAAAAGTGGGGCCGATACCACGTTTTTATCCCGAGAAACCGTTGAGAAATTATAGACAAAACGGTTTTTCTTTAAAGCGGTCTGTTTACCTTTGCAACTCTATAATCCGCAACAGCTAGAAAAACGTGCAAGTAAAAAAACTAATATTTAACGTCCTGTTTCAGAAATCCGCAACAGGTAATTTAGGCCAATATGGGCCTATATTACCTGTTTGGGAAAGAGAACCCTCAGATAATAAATAAACCTAAAGCGTTTTTGAAATTGTCTCCGTTATATTCGGGGTTTCGGGGTTTCGGGGTTTCGGAGAAGGTGGGCCCTTTTACTAATAGGAAACTTTTAGGTATATGCTATAGCTAGTAAAATCGGCAGTGATACAACATGTCTTGGAAATGTAAAAGAGAGTAAAATTTTGTCTTGGAACGTTTAAAAATATTCGAAAAACAAAACAAATATGCTTTTAGGTTCCTGGATAGTT